TGGGACCCCCCACTCCGCAGGCCTACGCTCTATCTACTGAGCCAAACTGGCTAGGGCCACATAAACTTTAAGACCATATTCTCCTTATGTGGGAAATGTGGACAATGCCATCTATCCTCCCTTTTACAAAGGGTTGTGGTGAGGACTGAATGAATAAAGTAAGAGAATATGTGTGTCTCTGTTTCTTTTTGAACCATTTAATAATTTATTTCTTGTGCTTTTATGCTCCTCATTTCTGCATATTTCTTCATAATCTCTAGTAGGATTCCCCCCCCCCCATCTCTCCTAGTCATTTTTGCACCTTATTCTCTGTATGTGGACTTTAGATTATTATTGTTATTATTATTTAAAATTCTCTTTTCTATAAATTTTAAAATTTATTTTTATTGATTTAAGAGAGGAAGAGAGAAAGAGAGATAGAAACATCAATGATGAGAAACAATCATCTATCGGCTGCCTCCTGCATACCCGCTACTGGAGATTGAGCCCACAACCCAGGCATATGCCCTGCTCAGGAAGTGAACCATTACCTCCTGGTTCATAGGTTGACCCTCAACCACTGAGCCACACTGGCCAGGCTAAATTGTTTTTTGATATATATATCTAGAGGATTGTGGAATTTCTAAGCTATGTTTACTAATTTCCATGGGGGAATTAACCTTAATGCTTAAATTCATTAATGCTATTAATATATTAAAAATTAGGTCTATAAGCTGTTTTTTCCCCATGAGATAGAGAAAACAAAATCTAATGACTATCAGACTTGGGGCAGAACCCACCTTTTTCTTTTTTCTTTATTGATTAAAGTATTACATATGTGTCCTTATCCCCCCATTGCCCCTCCACCCCCCCACTCATGCCCTCACCCCACCTTTTTCAGTATGACAGTTTAGTTTCATTTTTGTCATATATATAGTTAGTTCCCCTTTGTAAATGGATTTAAGACATTTGTTATAATATGCACCATTGGCATTTTTCAAAATTACCATGTCAAGAGGAATTGCCGAGTTGTTTCTGGGAATGCTCAGGAGCTTTTTACTTATATTGTGTTTCTCTCAAATAATTTTGTGGTATGGTTTCCTAAATACAGTAAGATGCCTAGAGTTGGATTTTCTTGCATTGTTAGCTCACTTTTTCCTAAGAACATAGCGTGAAGGCTGAGATTTACTCTGCTTGGATAGAGTTCTCACCACCACCAGAGGAAATCTGATAGAATATGTGGTAATGAAAAAAGCATATTATGAATTTGAATTTAGTGATGTTTTTGCTTTTATGGCTTTTTTTCCCTTTTTTTTTTGTAGTGGTTCCTTTGGTTGGTAAATACTGAACCATTTTCAGTGCTAAAGAATCTGGTAAAATGTGCTAGGGATGTATAGGAATTATTTTATACCAGCAAGACACTATTTAGGGCTCAGAGGCCAATAGGCCCATTACGTGTATAATTGTAGTATAACCTTGAACGGTATCCAGGAACAAAGTGCTTCAGTCCTCCTGTGGGAAGGGAGTTGTAAACACAGAATCAGAATGCGGCATCGGAGATCTCCAGGGAGCACAGTGGAAGCTCAGAGTGATGTGTAGGACTCTGACCTTGAGTCCTCAGTTCAGTCAATTTAGTTTTCTCAGAAGCAGTGGCCTTTGACTTTTGTAAAGGGTGTGTGTGACTGGAGTTTTCATAGTTGCTTTGTTATAATTCCAGTGCAGAGAAGTGGAAGGGATGTGTGTGTGCTCTTCACCTTGGCCAGAGCTTTAAAAAAGTGGATTCATATAGAATTTGTGCTGCATTTCTGTGGGATTTCTTTGAAGCCTCTAAGTGCCGACTGCAGAGCTTCCCGGATTTGATTCCTGAGCCTGACAGAGGCATATTCCTTTGTGTTGACTTCCGTTCTGTTTTCTGTTCTGGGTGGACCCAGGTTTTGGGTTGTGAAAAGGGCTGGTATTGCCATTGGGGAGCGCTGGTGTTATAGAGCAGAGAGAGTTCATCCACCAGTACTAGCAGAGGCAAACACTAAACACCGAGAACCGCAGTGGAGAAAACTTGGGTATTTTATTACTAATGGCACCACCAGGAGAACGGGAAGCTAATGCTTAAAGGATGAACTCCCCAATGTCTTGTAAGTCACAGATTATATAGGGCAAAATCACAAGACACTGTAGGTTAGAGGGCTCAGGGTGGTGCTGGGAGCTGATTGGTTGGAGGTGAGTTAAAGGTAATAAAGCATTTCTTTAGGTCTTGAGGACAGCTCTGGCATCTGTCTGGTCTCATGGGAAAGTAGCCAGCGGGTCACTCCGCCGTAGAGTTCAGGAACTGAAACATAACTTAAGTCAAAATGTTGTCTTTAGCCTGCCAGCGGTCTGGACCTTGTGATCATTAGTCAGGTCCGGGCTACTGTCTTCTGCTGCCTCCGGGGTTGCTGGTTATCCTGGGTCTCTATAAGGCACATATACATAACTTCTAAAGCTAGGATTTGAAGCTAAATTTAATCAGAGTCAAAAGGACCCTGGGTTTCACTGGCCTGGATGACTGGGACCTGGTCTTCTGACACAAGGTGTGGTGATGAAGCCCTATTGTGGTGCCCTACAGATTCAGGAAACGGAAACTCTTTCCCTCATGACCTCCTCTCTTCTGCAGCAGCACACACTTCCTCCAGATTTCTCCTCCATCTTCCCAAAGAGGAAAAAATAGCCAGATGTGAGTGGCACTGTCCCCTATCACCAGGCACTCCTCTCTGCATCTGCCTCCAGTTTGTCTTCACACAAGGCCTTTGTGTGCAAGGGGGTGGGGGATGGTGGCCGTCTCCAGTGCCCTTGATGAGACCTTTATTTACTCCACTGGGTCGGGTTCTGCGCCACTGTTGGCTTCCCTCACCTTTGGGATGAAAAGATCAAACCATTTGTCATTCTGTGGTTCTGCCTCTTTCTCTCCTTATCTTGTTTATCTCCACTCACAAGATCTGGCTGACCTCTGCAATCCTCCTAAATTTAACTCCTTATCAACGTTTAAGACAAGACTTTTTAGAAGCATGCAAAGCTTAAAGTCTAAACAAATAAATGGATGGCTGAATGAAACAAATAAATGAATGCAAAACTCCTTGCTACATGGATTTCCTCTGACTCCTAGACCAGACGCTGGATTTATCATTTCCGTGACTCATGTTATAGGCTAATTGTATTCTGCTCTTTTCACATTTTTTGTAAATAGAAATGATAAATGATAAAAGACTGCTGTGGCTGGAATACAAGGTCAGAGGGGTAGGGGGAGAAGATGGGGGAGGCAAGGGTCCAGTTATACAGAGCCTTGTGGACCATGGTTAGGATTTGGTCTCCTCGGAGTACTGAGAAGTTATCAGAAGTAGTGGTGTGATCAGATGTTCATTCTGATGCAGAGATTTGGTAGGGATTAGAGATTTGGGAAACTTGGGGAGAACATTGAAGTATACTCCTGTTGAACTGAGATAATACCAGCAGAGATGAAAAGAAGAATAAAAATTCGAAGCTCTTTGGGAAGAAATGGTCAGGAGTTAGTGCTTGATTGGGTATGGCTGCTGAAGAAGATTGATGTCAAGGGCAACTCCCAAGCTTCTGTCTTGAACAACTGGATGGGTGATGATGATGATGATGATGATGACAACTTGGAAACTGGAAATTCTAGAAGAAGACCAGATTTTGTGGAGGAATTTTAAGGTCAAATGGCTTAAAAAGGAGAGATGGGCAAAAATAGTGACTGCATTACAGCAGGTCATGAGCTTCAGAATTTTTAATTTATTCTTGCTTGAATTATTTCCTTTTATCCTTTTATCTCATTAATAGCCATCTAAGTACATACAAAGCACTTTGAATTAGTTAGCTTTTGATTTCAAAGGATTACATATACATAATATCATTCTTTCACATTTTGATAAGCATGAAATAAAAGCTTAAAGATTACTGTTGACCCAGCCAGTGTGGTTCAATGGTTGAGCATCGACCCATGAAACCAGGAGGTCACAGTTCAGTTCCTGGTCAGTGTACATGCCCAGGTTGTGGGCTCGATCCCCAGTAGGGGGCATGCAGGAGGCAGCTGATCAATGATTCTCTGTCATCATTGATGTTTCTATCTCTCTCCCTCTCCCTTCCTCTCTGAAATAAAAACATATTTAAAAAAAAAAGATTAATGTTTCCCTGGCCAGTGTTGTTCAGTAGTTAGAGTGTCAACCCACCCACTGAAGGGTCTCAGGTTTGATTCCTGGTCAAGAGCACATGCGTGGGTTGCAGGTTCCATCCCTGGTTCTGGTTGAAGCGCATGCAGAAGGCAGTCAATCGATATGTCTCTCTCACATTGATGTTTCCCTCTCTATCTCTTTCCTTCTCCCTCCCATCCACTCTCTCTGAAAAGCAATTCTCAGGTGAGGATTAACAACAACAAAAAAAGATTACTGTTTATGCATAGTATCATTGATTTAATTTATAGTTAATTTTAGGCCATTTCTAATTTTTATAAATACTACTTCAATTAACTTTTTTGTGATCATTTTTCCTTCTTTTAATTAATCTTAGGAATGGAATTCCTGTATCTATGTGTCTTGTTATGGTTTGTGATTTCCTTTCCATAGGAGGCATGTTGATTTATAATGTTATCAACTTTGTATTTTCCTGGTTAGTTTCCTCCAAAACCTTACCACCTATAAAGGTGCCCAAAACAGCTGCAGAGCAGCACTTAGTGGGGTTGGAGTGGGGACAGTCAGCGATGGGAGAGGACAGCCATTTGTTCTGAGTTGTAGTGATTCTCTGCAGAGCTGGATTGAAAAGATTTTGAGGCCTTTTTCCGGGTCAATAACATAATGTGTTCTGAATTGATTGGTGATGTCTTTCATCAGAAAGGATTAGGTAGCAGTGATATATCTGCATAGGATTTACTATTCTTTATCTTAGGAGGTGGGAATTCCTACCAGAAGCCCGTTTCAGGAGTCCAGGAGTGAATCAGATAATGCTTAGAGTTTTTACATGGCCAAAAGCAGATAGTCATGTCTCAGAGTAAGTTGTTCTTAGAGAATTGTCTTAATGAGCCCCAATAAATAATGTATATGGGAGGAATATCATGAGAGATCCAGTTCCCAGTTAGTTGGGATTAATTGCTAGTCTTCAGAATGCATCTGACATCTACCTTACGGGGGATACAATGAAACAGTTATCCCTGGTTATCCCTGAGGCAGGATTTAGCAAACTTTATTCCTGATTTGTGGAATCAGACTTGTTTTTATTCTACCTCCCCAGTAGTTGGCAACAACAACAACAACAAAACACCTAGCGACTATATCTTGAGAACACAGGATACTACTATGGAAGGTAAAACTGGAAAGCAGTAATAAAGGTATTCCTGTGAATTCTAGAAAATGGGCTTTTTCAATTGAAGCAGTGTACCTTTGGCAGGGAGGCGATTTAACTTGGTCAGAACCTTAAGAGGTTTTCAGTGGGACTCAGAAAATTTGGTTATGACTCTATCAGCCAGCTGTGTGACCTTGAGGAAGTCACACAGCTTCCTCTTTTGCAAAACTAGGAGATTTGACAAGATGGGCTACGACATTCTCATAGAATAGAAAAATCCATGCATAGACTAATTTCCTTCCATTGCTATAAGTCCACTACAAATACAGGGGCCTTTAGAGAATGGCGGGCAGCCCTGATCCTCCTCTCTCATCCTTTCTCTTTCTTCACTGACTCCTTTATTCACCCAGTAGGCTTTCTTCTCTTTTCCTGCTTTAAACCTGTATGTGTTCCTGTGTGATAGTCATGACTCACAGGCAACGTTTTCCTCTTGTGTATGTGTCATGTCTGAATGAGGTTCCTTCAGGGAAAGGAAATCACGAAGCTGAGTGATTCATGAAAATTGCCCAGTTTCCCGGCTTCATGCCGCCGCAGCAATCCTTGAGCAGGGCCTTCCCCTGGTGGCCAGCAGGGGAACAGCAGGGGCCTGGGAGAAGGAGGTTCTGGAGGTCATTTCTTGAGCCCTCATAAAGCCACTGGCCAGAGATGATTGAAGGTTGGTTTTTTTTGGTAAGAATATTTCTTTTCTGAAACAAACTAAAACGTTGCCTATTCTCTTGTCCTGTTACTTTTTTTCCCTATCAAATGTATAAGAAAAGAAGTTGTAAAAGGAAGACACACTGAGTGAATTTGACCAAAGAATTGATTGTTAAATCCACATTTGAGCAGGTTTGCTGCTTGAATGATTCAGAAAAGCTGGTGATTTAGCTTGAGTTGTCTGTAGAAGTTGATGAGTAGAGATGAATAATGTGGCTTTTGAATTTTTCATCTTCAGGGGTGTTTTGAGGGTCACCTTTGCAGGAGCTGCTTGGCTGTTTGGGGGATTTAGAGCCAGTTTTGAGCAGAGCCCTTGGGTAGAGTGAATGGATAGACTCCAAAATGTGCTTCTTAGAGCAGAGTCCTGACTGTGCAGACACTTGCTGTAGCCAAAGCCTGTACTCCCAAGGCCAACCGCAGAGAGAAAATGCCATGCAGCTCACAGCGGGGAGGGCCGGTTGGGCCTGGACTGAACTAGGGGCATTTCAGGGGGATGTTTTTCTCAGCTTGGGAGTAGGGTGGGCCTGGCGTAAGTTGAAAGGACACCAAGGAGGGCCAAAAAAGCAAAAACGCTTGGGAGGTAAGGATTTGTCTCCTGATCTGTGGGCGGTGGGTTAGCCACAGGCAGAGCAGCCCTGCCCACCCCTGTGTGCAGGAACTTGCCTTTGTCAGGCACTTTCATGGTTGTGGACCTCCGACCTCTGCACATTGATCTGCACACTGCAGATAAACGGCTTTCGGTGCAGTTGTTTTATTATAGCTCAGAACCCGGGAAGGCCTCTCTGTCTGGGATCTGAGACCAGGAAGCCTGGGCGGGGCCAGGTTATCACCCATTGGTCAGGGCTCACCTACAGTCGGCACGTGGAAGGTAGCACTTGATGATTGCTTGCTGGGCCAGTGGACACTGGATGCATAGAAGCATCCTGAGAAAGAGAATTCCTAAACTGTGACCGAGAGGTCTGGAGAGGGACAAGACAGATCCTTGCATTAACCTGCCTTCCCCTTGTGGGAATGGCTTCAGATGCTCAGAGAGGCCAGAGATGAATGACTTAGCATTTCTTGTGGAATAATAAATTTAGAAGCTGTGTACCGTGGGGGAGGGGTTGCACCCCATGAACATGGCGATGATAAAATAAAAATTAGTGTGGTCAGTGTTGGCAGTTTGCAGAAAACGGTTCACTTTGTAAGAGAGTGGGTTTTCCTTGTCCTCAAGGTTAAGGCAGCACAGTTCTTCAGTTTCAAAGGAGGGCCAGGAGCCACTCATCCACAGGGGATTTTAAAAGCAACTGAGATGAAAAGAACTGAGTTGTGGTTTGGGGGAGTGCGGGGAACATTAGCCAGAATCCATAGTGAGGGTGCAGTGCAGCTCAGAAATAGCAGCGGCATTGATTTGGAATCTGAGGAGCTGAAGCTTTAATTCTGTCGTCTCCTCTCTGAACTCTGCACATCGATCTGCTCACTGCAGATAAATGGCTCTTGGTGCAGTTGTTTTATTATGGCTCAGAACCCGAAGCCGCTCTCACTGGCACGGGAGACCTCTGGAGAATGAATGTCTGATGAGTATCGCCAGCCGATGCCCCTCTTCCCTGAGGTTTGCTGGAATTGTCCCCTAAACATGGGAGCAAGAAGGAGTAAAACTAATTCAGATTGCCAGTTGGTATTTCAAATCTTATTTCACATTTGTGTCTAAAGAAAAACACATTTCTCTGAGTTTCAACATTTTCTCCTTCATATTTACGCTTTTGAAGTTGTACCTTTAAGTACTGTATGACAATTTTTTTTTCTTTTTGGGTTAAATATGTCTCCTTCCTTGTTCACTTATAGATCTCAAAATGTGTCCATGATCCTTTCAGATAAGCACAGTTTGATGAGGACTTCTGTGTTGATAGTATGCAGACCTTGTATCTTTTGGCCTTGTCACCCCTCTCGGAAGAGGAGTTATTGGCAACTGCTTTGTTCTCCTTTCTGGACAATCTCCCAACTTGGTTTTGTAACTCTTCCTTTGAAATTTCCATTTCTACCATTGTATTTTTAATTTCTGAGGGAGTAAGATCAGCCTTACTTTCTGAATGAGCATCCTGCTTTTTTGTTGTGTGTATTAAGGTCTGGTATTTCTTAGTTGTTTCTTTTTATAAGACTAAAGTACCAAAAGCTCTGTTTGCACCGAGGCTTGTCAACTGTTTGCACATGTGGCCTTTAGTTGGGGGACTCTAAGCATCAGGATCTGAAAGGTCTGGTATTTCTCAGTTGTTTCTTTTTGTAAGACTAAAGTACCAAACACTCTGTTTGCACTGAGGCTTGTCAACTGGTGCACACGTGGCCTTTAGTTGGGGGACTCTAAGCATCAGGATCTGCAGTTTTACCTCTTACCAGGATGGGAATCCTCACCTCTGCTGTCTAGGCTTGCGCAGGGCAGGGAATAGCATCAGGCGCTCCCTTGAGCTGTATCTGAAGTGCCCAAACCCAACTGCGGTCCGGTGCAGGTTTCTTGGAGAGTCACCCTCCCATCAGGAGGGTCTGTTCTCTGGTACGTGGCTTGGAGCACTAAGAGTATGTCTGTGTGAACCTTTCACTGACCATGATTTCAACTTGCTCCTTCAGTTCTTAATATATTCAGGATTCTGTGGCATGAATTGACTCGCTTCTCATTAGCTTTCCTTCCTGCAGGCATTTCAGGCTCAAACGCTTCTTTCTCAGTGACCATTTGCCCAAGTGCTTTTCATTGACTTCGCTTGCTGGTGTTATTTCTGCTCCTATCTTTTGACCTTGTATATTTGTATATTTTATTCCTTAAGCCATTTTGCAAAGGTTTTTAGAAATACATGTATTTGATTTCCAATGTGTAAGTAGACTGCTATCCTAATTAGCTTAGAAGAATTATTTAATAGAGAGCTGAGATGAATTCAGATAATTAAGCAAAACTGGAGATTATTATGCAAACATCAGATTCTAAAGAGAAAATGTCAGAAATACAGAAATTAGAGCCTTGGCCAAGTAGCTCAGTTGGTTAGAGCATCATCCTGATACACCAAGATTGTGGGTTCAATCTCCAGTCAGGACACATACAAGAGTCAACCAATGAATGCATAGATAAGTGCAATAACAAACGGATGTTTCTCTCTCTCTCTCTCTCTCTCTCTCTCTCTCTCTCTCTCTCTCCCTCTCTCTTTCAACCAATGATAAAACCTTACAAAAAAGAAATACAGAAATTAAAATTCATAGATCTCACAGGGTGATACCTAGAAAAAGAGATTTTCTGAACACTGAGGTTTTGAACAAAGTCAATTCTATCTCTACCAAAATAATGTGGTATTTTGCCAAACTTCTCTAGACTACTCTAAAAATTTCCAAATTTCTGGAAATATATGTATTGTGGACATGCCAGTTCTAGTTTAATTATTGTATATATGTAGGACATGTTTCTAAAACATACTTTTACCATACTTCTTTTTTTTCTATGAAAGCAATACAATTTCATTATAGAAATTACTGGTAAGAAATAGAAGAAAATATACCCGCGAGCCCCTCTTCTCCCCCCCGCCCCACACCCACAATTAACCAGAAATGACCTCTCTGTCCACTTGTTCTGTGTTTATACTAGGTTATAATTGGCACCGTTGGTATTCATGGTGTGTCCTCATTCTTTTCCAGGACACCGGGGTTGGGAAATCAAGCATTGTGTGTCGATTTGTCCAGGATCACTTTGACCACAACATCAGCCCGACCATTGGGTAAGTTTCTGTGTGTTCCTCCCTTTCACATTTCGTCCATTCAGAGCACTCAGAGAGGTCACGTTGTACCTGAGCCTTCAAGAGGTTTCATTCCAGCCAGTGAGAATCAATCTCAGTGGGAAAGACTTCGACAGAAATTCAGTCACTTTTCAGTTGTATGTCTGGGCTTACTTTCTTGTCAATAATTTTTTTCCTAGCCAACTATTGTCATGCTGCAGTCTAAGGTCATTTCCTTGATCTCAAAGAGTATTGTTCTGAAAATGATGCCAGCTTTCTTTCCAGATGGAAGATGAGACACAGGACAAATCCCCAAAGGCTCTGTTGTAACTTGCCTGCCAGTAAACCTGGAAATGCTGTGCACTCACATGGCAGAGGTGTCTGCCCAGTCTGTGGGAGAGATTGATTTTCATGTTTTAGATTAATCGAGTGTCAGCATTTCTATTCTGATGCTTGGGGACGGAGGGCTGGGTTGTTCACGTCTGGGTCCCTGACCTTACATTTCCCCCTTTTCTTTGGATTCTTTTGCCAGACGTGCTTTTGCTGTGTGTTTTGCAGGTGCTTGATTTTTCACTCTTAGAGCTTGGCTTCACTTACTTTTCTCCCTGAAGATAGCATGATCCTTGCAGAGAGCAAAGTATCATTTTCTTCAGAAGGGAAACAATGCATGTATATATTTTTGGAATTCTGTACGGTTGATGATGGGCGATTGTCTCTGTTGGTCGTTTGTGGCAGGGCATAAGCAGATGCTCAAGAACAATTGGTTGATAGGCCAGTGGTTGGAGCAGTGGAGGTGAGAAAAACCAACACATTTTGCAGTTAAAAGTGGCTTAAAGAGACATGTTCACAAAAATATATGTCAAGCCAACAAGTTAACTCTCCCAGTGTCATGGATGCTGGCAGAAGACACAGGACTCCTGGGTCAGAAGCAAGGGAAATAGCAGTTGCTGGAGTATTATTTTACATTGGTTCCCTAAGCTCCATTTTTCCATAGGATGCTGTGAAGAGGGTCAAGTGACACTCCACATGCAGTAGCTTGTGTTACAGGAGAGGAACCCCAAGTTAGGGAACCTGAATCTTTTACAATGGACAGTAAGCATGTCTGTGCTTTGTTCCAAAGGGGTACCTTATCTCTCCCTACCAAGGCTATTTGGCTATACAGACATCCTTGAAAACACAGTCTGGGGGAAAGATAGTATCTGTGCTTGCAAGAGACCCATGGAGAATTGTCTCCCAACATAGTCACTTCTGTAGATTGGGGACAGTTTTATAGAGGAAATTCTTTTCACTCTTCCCTTTAATGTACTTTTTTTTCTCCTTAATTTGCCTTTCTTGATATTAAAAGTAAGACCCATGAGAATAATTAACTCTGAAGTGTGTTTCTCGAAGAGAAACTTTCATTGTCTACTTTTTGGACTTAAAATGTTTAAAAAATAACAAATCTGAATTCCTTTTGTAATGATATTCTTTTAAAATAAAAAGGCAATACATGCTTCTACCACAAATATGGTAAATATATAAAAGTGTTAAATGTAACTGTTATGTATAGTTATAAACATCATCATGCCTGTACAGAAGTATGTCATTTTGGTCACAATCTCTTGATCAGCAAGTCATAATGCCAACCCAGATTCAAGGGAGGGGAAATAAACTCTACTTCCTGGTGGGAGGGGCAGCATGAGGAAGCCTTTCCCCGCCCCAGTGGATCATTGGTAGCCAATCAAATACTGTTGACAGTGCTTTTTCTAGTAAATGCATTGTAGTTGTTTTGGTTTTTTAAAAAATTATGTATTATATGAAGACTATCTGTACTTTCTGTTTAATTTTTCTGTAAGCCTAAAATTTGTCTATAAGATACTCTATGTATTAGCTAAAACATTATATATCTTTAAATTATAATGCATATTATGAAAAGTTTAGACCATACATAAATATCTAAAAACAAAAACAGTATCACACACTACCTAATGTGTTACAGCATGTATTCTTTATCCACGTAGGTCTTCCTTATTCTTTTCCATGAATACAGATTTCTTGGAAGATGGCATAAACAGAATACTTTAAATACTATCTGTGCATTTTCTTGACAAAGTCAAGATTAAAGTCTAATTTTTCTGATTATAAAAGTTCATGTTCACCCTGGCTGGTATAGCTCAGTTGGTTGGAGTGTCATCCCATAAAGCAAAGGTCATGGATTCGATTCCCAGTCAGGGCACATATGTAGGTTGTGGGTTCAATTCCAGGTCGAGGTGTGTATGGGAGGTGGCCGGTCGATGTTTTTCTCTCACATTAATCTCTCTCTCACTCTTCCTCTCTCTCTCTAAAAATCAGTAAATATATCCTCAGGTAAGTATTAAAAATTTTTAAAAATTTCATGTTCACTCTAAAAAGGTAAAAAACACATAACTTATAAAATAGAAATCACAATATATATAGTTTTATATCCTGTTTTCTACTTATTATGAACATGTTCCTATAATGTTACATAATCTTCAAAAACATGATGAAAATAATAGTTTTTTCTAATTATGTACCCATTATAAAAATTGAAAATGAAGAAAACCATGAGGAAAAATATAAAAAAATTACCCATGACCTATCTCCTCATCCACTGCAAACATTGGCTATATTTTCTACTGGTCTTTTTCCTATATACTGTATGTATTAAATATTTTTTTCATTTAACATTATATTGTGAATTCTATGCCATTAAATGTTCTTTAAAAATAATGATTTTTAATGGCTCTACTTTCATTTAAGGCATTTAGTTTGTTTAAAATATTTAAAAATATTGTAAACTAGAGGCCTGGTGCACAAAAATTTGTGCACAAATATGCCATTAAATGTTCTTTCAAAATAATGATTTTTAATGGCTCTACTTTCATTTAAAGCATTTAGGTTGTTTAAAATATTTAAAAATATTATAAATAATGTTATGATGTATATCCTTGGGCATAAATACTGGCATGTACCTCTTTTTATTTCACTGAGTTAAACTCATAGCAATGGAGTAATTTAGTCAAAGAATAAGAACATATTTAAAGTTATTGATGGATATTGCCACATTGTTTTTCAGAAAGGTTGTCCTTATTTTTGTATATAGTTACCAGCTTTAGAAAATTTAGAAAATTTTTGTATATATGATTTTGAATTGTTTTTTTCCCCTGTAGATTTCAAACTTAAACATTGCTTACACCTCAGTCATTCCCAGTCATTCTGCTGTTAGGGTCAATTTGCATATTACCGTTTTATTATATAGGATAATGTTATGATGTATATCCTTGGGCATAAATACTTGCATATACCTCTTTTTATTTCACTGGGTTAAACTCATAGCAATGGAGTAATTTAGTCAAAGGAAAAGAACATATTTAAAGTTATTGATAGATATTGCCACATTGTTTTTCAGAAAGGTTGTCCTTATTTTTGTATATAGTTACCAGCTTTAGAAAATTTAGAAAATTTTTGTATATATGATTTTGAATTGTTTTTTCCCCTGTAGATTTCAAACTTAAACATTGCTTACACCTTCAAATTTCTTCATAAACACAATTTTAAATGATTGTACTATTAAATTATGTGCCCTTCCGCTTTTTATCTACATAATTTCTCACTTTTTTCTGGCAACAAGATTAAGTTCAGCTCCTCCGTTCTTATCTGTTGTCTTTTCCTGATATAGTTTATTTTCCCAATTTTAAAATTGCTCAAAATTTCTTATCTCTTCTGAGATTTTGAGAAAATGTTTCCAAACCAGTTTCAGAAAAATAAAGCCTGTAGGAACAAACAGATATTTGGAAGATGGCATAAATGGAATACTTTTCAAAAAATTGTGTGCTTATTCCTCAGCTGGTGGATTTGAAGGGCTGGCAGTGTGGCTTATAGATGTGTTTTGTTTAGCCTGGTTTAAAAAATTTAAGCTAATGATGAGGAATCTGAAGATTTTTATATAACACACTTATATTTCTGGCTTCTCACATAAATCAGTAGGCTTGGAGCACATGCTCTGGTGGCAGAAGCCATGCAGATGTGAGCCAGAGGTGCTCTACTCCCTGTGGGTGACGGGCTCTCTCTGCTCCATGTTGTCCCCACTATTATTATTATTATTGCTACTATTATTTTTATCAGTATTTTACTCCTAGCCCGCTTTGCTAATTTACATGTCCTACTTGGCTCCATAGACATTTCAGTTCATGTCCCTTGCACAAGAGCCTTTTTCTCAGTTACCCTGCTAGCCCCAAGGGACAGAGCAGCTAGGTAATTTGTTTAGGTAAGCAGTAAACTTGTAACTCGAACCAAGTGAGTCCACTTTTATTTTATTTTTTTATTATTTTTTTCTTTATTGATTAAGGTATTACATATCTGTCCTTATCCCTCCATTGCCCTCCCAACCTCCCCGCTCATGCCCTCACCCCCCCTAGTGTCTGTGTCCATTGGTTATGCTTATATGCATGCATACAAGTCCTTTGGTTGATCTCTCCCCTTACCCCCACCCTCCCCTACCTTCCCTCTGAGGTTTGACAGTCTGATCCATGCTTCTCTGTCTCTGGATCTATTTTTGTCCATCAGTTTATGTTGTTCATTGTATTCCACAAATGAGTGAGATCATGTGATATTTATCTTTCTCCAACTGACTTATTTTGCTTAGCGTAATGCTCTCTAGGTCCATCCATGCTGTTGCAAATGGGAGGAGTTCCTTTTTACAGCAGCGTAGTATTCCATTGCGAGGGTTCCTCCTCACAATAAAAATTAACTCTTTCAATGCTAAGACAATGACATTTCATAGCCTATGGCCTTTTCCCAATGAGAATGTGGTCTCAGTGGGAAGAACGAGGGTGCACTTTAAAAGTGGACTCACCAAGTGCACCCTTGTTCTTCCCACTGAGATCACATTCTCATTGGGAAAAGGCCATAGGCTATGAAATGTCATTGTCTTAGCATTGAAAGAGTTAATTCTTATCGTCTCCTGTGACTCACCCTGAAAAATCTTGGCTCTGCTATTCAAG